ATATTAAGGTAGCCTGGTGGCAAAGGATAAAGGATAAAGTCTTCGCCGTTGATCAATCCCTTTGTGGGATGCGGCACGCATTCTACTTCCATTCAGAATCGTAGTGGCTTATTGAATGCGATGTGGCCTATACAATGACTTGCCGATGTACAAGTCAGTGTTTTATCCTCCCAGACGAATCTGGTACCAATTTACCGTCCCCGGAGGGTAGAAGGCTTGGTTGGCCTGGGCGGGAGTCGACCCGGGATTTGAACCCGGCGCCGCGCGAGTGGTAAGCGCGCCACTTGTCACTACACCTCCGCCTCAGAGAACTCTACACGTGACATAATTGCTACGAGAGATGGGGTAAGAGGGCCGGCAAGACTAGTCGCTTGGCACGTTACTGTTTGCACCAGAACTCCCTTTGCACAACAACGTAGGGATGCCAGATGGCCATGTTCCCTTGATAATTTAGTTTCGCAAAGACCCGTCTCATGAAAAATATGAGAATCTCTTATGAGCTAAAACTACTAGCGGAATAGTGGGTTCCAATATTCAACCCAATCCTCTTGAGCAGTTCAGCTCTAATTTTGTTAGCGTTTCAAGCTGACAGCAGAGTTCTTGAGAAGGTACTCACGGAAAGGAGAAAATCAAAAAAGTGATCTGTTGCTGTTGCTCCCCCTCCCGCTCGCTTCGCCGCCGTTAAAACTGACCATGAGTTTCCTCAATGAACTTGACTAGTGAGCGCTTTACATTAACTATCCGAACGGGCCCTATCTTTGAGGGGATCATTAAAAGGAGTTCCTGGGAGATCGCCTGGGTATAACTGGGATCGAGTGACGTCCCTCCAAATAGAATTGTCATCCTCAAGTTGACTGACCCACCTGAAATTCTCTTTTCTTTTTTGGCCTGTGCTTCTGCAAAAGTCCTCATCTCCATTAGGATTACGTTCCAGTCAGTTGAGGGGGGGGGCCGAAACGACCGCATGAAATGCAATTTTCAGGATTATAGCGCGCCTGTGGATGGCCATTAACACGAACGACGAAAATCAGTGCTTACAACTGTCACGGCACCATGTAAGAGCCCCTCAATTTTCTCATAAGGGTGTCATCCTGTCCTGGGAGCAAAATGGCATTCAGAATTTCACTAGTTCACATCCTGTGCATGAATTTCACCAACAACTTGCGCATACTTTGAGTGCCAAAAGAACCATAAAGATGAATCAAGAGAATGCCTGAAGTTATGCGCAAAGTCCGGTAGGGACATCAATGTAGCAACTTCCTCATCCAGGCGTGGGCGATTGCGCTATGGAGCAAGCTTTATATCTACATTGATCTTGATGTTTTTGTTGCCAAGCCTGACCCATGAGTCCGCAACAGCTAATACAGCAGTCTGATTATAAAGCAAGCTGCGCAAAAACGTAAAAGGATCATATTGTAAAACTACTCAGATTTTGCATCGGGAGGTGATTTCTGAGCTAGTTCTTCTTACGAAACGCGTCGAAACAACTGGATCAAAGAAACGTGGCGAATGCAAATGCATCTCTTAAACGAGAAAGACTTCTTCGATTCATTGGTAAGTCTGAAGCCTTTGCTGAGGGTCGGATCACAAACAGATGATAATCAGGCTATCTCTGTTACAGCTGTGTTCTTGTGTGGAGCACTAGTGACGCAGATTTTTGTCGATACGATCAAATTGATGACTGGTTACCAGCGACCCTATTTTCTTTCGCTATGCAACGTCTCTATCAGGTAAAGGGCATTTCACTTTCACATTTCTGCTTAATTATAGCCTTTGCTCATTTCTGTCCTTTTATGTGCAACCGTAGTTCGCAGTCCAATACATTACCTGTTAATTCAGTGCCTGCACAGCTCCACTTGAGCATTCGCCATCGCCTTCGCCTCATTTGGCATGCAACTTCCGAGGTGCTGACGAGCTGCGATACGCATGGCTTACCTTCCCATCACTTCATGCCGCCTTTTCCAGCTACTCCTGCATCTTCGCATCGGTTTGTTCAACAATCATGTTCACCGTGTCTAGCTTAAATGCGGTCCTGGAATTAAGCACCACGAAAACTTCAACGTTGTGAAAGTGAAACTCATACGGTTTACGGTAATTGTGCTACCGCTGTCGCAAGAAACGCTAATGTTGATCCGACAGATCTCTCTTCTCCGGAGCTATGTGCGGTCATTATCCCTGTAAGCGAGAGGGAGTGTGAAGTAACATGAACTGGAGCGCAGTCAGGGCAGTTCTTTTCCACTAGTATTGCTGCCCAGGATAGTATCAGTTGGTGTGGTGGAAAATCTCAGTACCGACCAACTTCTCGATCAGCAGGGTACTAAGGATTGTAGAAATCATGAGGATTAGAGACACACACGCGGAGGGGCGTGCGCACTACCAAAAACACCTCAGTGCAACTCTGAACGCAACCAAAGATATGCTTGATTTACGCAGTTCAACACCCCCATCACATCGTCTCAGGACAGAGCGTGAGAGGTCGTCCAGGTGGCCGCGCGCCCAGACACTGCAATTGGGCCCTTACTAAAGTACATCTCACGAAAACAAGCGCAGACAACCCACGTCACGAGCCACAAACACAGCTCAGCGTAAATCCCACCCTTTATCTTCCTCTCGCGCTCCCGACTCCCCGGATCTACACAGAGTGGACAATGTGCCCACACTAATACATCCTGCAACACACCGATATGCCACGTATTATATTGCGTGTAGGTGAGAGCTTATTACTTCCATCATCATGCACGCTCAGAAGCAATGTATCTGCGGCCGATTTCAAGCCCTTTCTGAGGAATAGGAACCGTTCATAGGAGGAGTGTGTTCCTATTAATTGTCGTTCCTGAACATGTTTAGTGTGAAACTTTTTTCATCCCGAAAAAAAGGCAAAAAAAATCGGCAGGGCGAAGATAACCTCACAGCTGCTATTCAGCACATCAGTTCACTTGCTTCAAAGTTATCACAAGGATGCCTATTATAGGCAAGAAGCTTGATCCCAGGCGGGACTGGAATCAGTTCCTCACGCTTACTGAGCAGCTTCCCTATCCACTGCTTCGTTATAGAAGGGAAACGGGTAGCCCTAATGGCGTAAAGCATGTCGCAATCGCCTGCTAAGCGTGATGCGATGTTCGACTTCCGGCTTTTGTCAAGACGTCTACCAATCCTCAGCATCCCTGTGGCAGGTGCAAGCGTAGAGCACTAAGGCTAAGGTCTATGAGGGGATAGGAACTGTTGAATTCAAGGGGATAGGATCATTGAATTCAATCGCTCGAAGCTAACGAATAAATAACAAGCAAGTTGTTGGTGTTCGCGTAGTGAAAAGCTGCGATGAAGTGGACGCAAATTTACTATTCATTCCTTAGTTTTTTTTATTTTGTTTTGTTCATCTGTATCATTCCGATTTATTGATTGCTATCGACAAGTATTCAACGTACATTTTAGTGCTACATCTACTACATGATTAATCTTCGCGGTGCTCCTCTGCTTCGGCCATTCCTCATTTTCGGGTTCATTGGTCTCTGCATCGTTGACTCGTTCTCGCGTATCAACGGCTACAAGAACCATTGGAGAGACATATGGGTCGGATGGCTGATCGGTTTCCTCATTGCTTTCTTCCTGGTTCGTCAAGCTCTGGCCTGACCTCTGACCCTTTTGAAATTCCTTCTTTGCAGTGTCATTGTGTGCTTGCTTCCAAGAAATATACCACGTGGTCGTGGAGAAGCCTGCAGTGGTCGAAGAGCGTGTGTCGCCGTTCTTCTCATGGTTCCGACTTCCTAGAGTGCAGGCTCCCTCCGTCGAGAGGAATATGGGAGTAGTATCCTGACACTATCCTGTTACGAGATACTGTAATATGATGTTAGGCAAGTACATCTATTCCAGAGTGTATGAGGAGGATGTGCCCCAGACGGAGACTATGCCTCGACATCGCAAGAACCAGGATCGACAATACGAGGTAAGTCTCTCGTAAATTCGTTTCTAGGCTTTTGTAATTCAGTAAGTAGCTAGAACAAAAATTGTGTGATCTTCATTCGGGAAAATTTTTTCGCTTGTTCAGCTGAACTTTTCCTTGAGGTCACGCGAACGACGAATTTACATGAACAATCAGTCACCACAGCACAATGGTATCATACTGATGTGACTATTATGGAACCCTCTTATCTAGAGCCCTGCTGGTCTCATCATCTTACCCGGGTGTCTCTCCAAAGGCGAGGCACCAATCCCCGAGAATATTTATAGATAATTGTTGTTAAATATGCTCGTTAGCTTCCTTATTGCCTTGCTCACAAACTGAATCTTTCTTCTTCACTGCTATTCAAAATGGAAAATTTCTCACCGATGATAATCAGTAAAATATCAGCTGTAGTTCTCTCTTGTCGTTTTTGGTTACAAATTTTACTGGCAATTTAAAGATCAATAAATATTGAACTTTCGACAGGTTGTTATCGATTGAACCTATTATTTCCATGGTGAATTCTGAACGCCCTCCGTCCACACACTTCTTCATAGAACATTAAATATTCATTCAGTCATTTTATTCGACGGCACTTGGGCAAGGGAGTTTTTAAATGACGTATAATGTCAACGTAACTTCTACAAAATCGGCTTGCCGTATCTTAGTGAAAGTGCTTCAGATTCAGGGTTCACGATGCAGCGTTGTCTGCAGGTAGCAGCCTGGAGACTCAATCTCCAGTCTCTTCGCCAACAGTTGATGGGAACTAGAACGCACTTTTTCCACCGGAAAAGCACATGAGAACTTGTCCAAATAGAGACTTTTTGAAAATGTCAAAAAAAAACCGAACGCGCCGCTCGACAGACGGGAGTTTTCGACGAAACGGCGTTGCTGCAAACGTGTTGACATTTTCTCCTGGCGTATTCATCAGGATGTAGTCATTAGAAATGTCAGCTCTTATGAGGATGCCCACGTGTACGTGATCTCCAGTGCTGCCTGTCGTAGCCAGTTCATCGCTGCGATCGGAGTCTTGGCGACTCTTCTCGTTCCGCATCACCCTTAACCCCAATAGCGTTGACAGATGTTAGAAACAACAGCTTTTTTACAGCCCAGGGATGTCTAGACCTTGCATGGAGAAGAACGTCTCTAGAGCTGCTCT